ATAACTACAATCTGGATTGATGGAGTGCGTTTACAACCAGTGGGACCCAGTCGACTGACTAAACCAGTGAGCCACATCTCCTGCATAGAATTTAAGAGATAAGAAAGCCTGTATTATCAAAGTTGATAAACATAAGTTTCAGAAAAGAGATAAAAATTAGGCGAACACTACTAAACATGGTAAAAAGTCTGTAGAATCTTTAATTTTCAAGAGTTAGTTTGTCTGAAGATTTGATTTCTTTCAAGTTTGATCACGAGCTGACTTTGAAAGTGGGGAGTACGATACTGATGTTTCGCCCTACCCTGGAACTCGTCATCAGTACGTGCCTATGGGGGTTCGATCCCAATATCTTGTGATTAAAAAGGAGGGCTCTTAGGCTACTTAGTCAGTGAGAACTAACAGAATGGCTGTGATCAAACTTGAAACAAATCGAATCCCTACAAACTAACTCTTGCAGATTATTATGATGCTCCCCAGTTACCGGCTGCAGGACGAAGTAGTCTGGCGTAGTGACAAGTACTCACCGGTGACATTGGCTGATGGCCACAATAAAACCACGAATTGGTAGAAGTACGAATTCATTGACCATCAGTTTGGATCCCAATGGCTGAATGATCTACTAGCTCGCCTTGTAACTGGAAGGTCCCGAATTCTAATCCTGGTGGGTGCCTACTGATGAAGAGTCCCAAACTAAGGCGAAGTAGCTGCCCATTAGTTCTCTAATTGTTGTCAGCTATTGATCGAACTCCGAACGAATCTCTAATCATTACGTCTTCATATCTCAAGGGCAGTAGTCATACATCTTAAATTATAGATTCGGACTTAAAACATTCTCAGTAAATTTTCGCCTTCAAGTGCTTTGTCATTGTAAGCACTATGTTTCTATTACAGCTTTACACTGGTCAACTACACGAAGATCTTTTAATGCAAATGTGAAACTAGAATGCTAACTTTTCATTATTCTTATACCACGGAATACATGAGTAGTATTCGTATCACAGAAGAACGGCTTTTAAATATGAAAACTGTGAAGAGTCTGATTTCTGATCTGAATTGTGTATGGAAGTGTAGACTGTTGAATTAGACACTTTTGAAGCACTAAGAATCAGTGGCTTAAGGTTCAGAAAGACGCCAAGATATCATTCCATTATAAAGAAAATTGATTTGATAAAATCCCACAGTATTATGCAGTAATATTTACTGATGACCACGTTTTGAGCAGAAATAATTGCTCAAAATCATAGCAAATTACTCATCCAGCTTTCCAACTTCGTTTACATAAATCCATATCTCTGGTATCAGTGATGAGTTATTCCTATTACATATGTTGGGTGTAGACTCGACGAACCAGGATTCAGTAATCAATCTCTCTCGCTCTCCACCTACCTATATTACATTTTACAATTTGAACTCTGTCCCACTCTATTGTGTGGTTGTGTGTTAATGCGTGAAGTGCAATTGCTGAGTTTTTTTTCTCTAATTACTTATTTTCGTGGGATCAATCATTCTACACTTAGCTAAACTCCTATGTTCTGACAACTTGACTACCCCCGATCTACTAGTTCGACCTATATAGTTAATCTCAAAGTAATTGCAAGGTATTTTGTAAGTTACATTATTTTGTCTGTTTGAGTTGATGGAGTCTTTTAACCTACAGAGCTTGTCCTACCTGAGTGAGTTTGTAAGCTTAACTGCCATGCTGATTCCTGCTTTATTGAGAATCCTACCTAGAGTTTCAGATGTCCCCTGATTATATGGTAAAATTGTAGACGCCTTATATTCTTTCCCATTTTTCTTACCGTTACTAATTTCACCATTATTTTCATTTTTATTGTGATCTTTTTTTTGATTTTCTTGATGAATTTTATTGGATAGCTATTTAAGAGCAACGCTTCCTCTATCTGTTTCATTTCATCATTTAGGCTTTATGATGTACTGCTTAGTGTTCTGTTGTTATATTAATGATAAATATAGTCCTGCTACCAGGAAGCTTATAAACAAATTAATACGATTTTATCAAACTGGAGCATTAAGTGGCTGTTAAAATGAAACATATCAGCAATAAGCAGAAGTATTAGAAACATGAAAGCGACTTTATTAAGTCAGCTTTTCGTTCTCAGGGATTTGATCGATTGATTTCAAGCTAAATCATAAACTGGTAGGTCTATTAGAACACGACTGAAAGGTAGGAGTCATTGGATAATTGTTTCATCCAAGTCCAAGACTCTTCATCCGTACGAATCCATAATGTCTTCATGAGCTGAACTCAGGACCTTTAGGCTGAAAGGTGAGGATGGGATTCAATTTTTCGCCAAAAATGATACAGAAGCCTTAACAGTCACTCCTTATTATAAAGATGTCTGTAATATATTCCAAATATTTACCATTCATATACAGTTAACCATGAGCTTTAGGCTAACAACCACACCCAGTAGGAGGTAACACCACCTCCAATGAAACTTGAAGCCCTATGTTCCGCCCGGAACACAAGTGAATGGAAAAGAAACTAGACACATCATCAGTTATAACTTTGATGTGAAGTTACCTTAATGAAATGTTCATGATAGAGCTCAGTCATCAATAAATTCTCAACAATACCCTATCAAGACATCATTTCAGTGGAATGATGAAGATGATGTGTTTATTATTCGGACTTTATAGCTCAATTAGAAATTCTTCAAGTTGATAATCTAAAGACTGACAGCTTGAATCCTACTGTGGCCATAATGCACACCTTATATTCCATAACATTCTGACTTTAGCCACAGAGAATATCTCTACGCAAACTTATACCTAGAAGAGAATAAAACTGAAGGAATGGAATAACAAGTGACAGTAAAGGTAAAGAATAAGGTCAGAGGTATGACACGATTCATATCAGTAACCTCAAAGCGATTGACCTGGCACCTCGCTGTTTAGTATACAAAAGTCAAATGCCGCATGAATTTTATTCTCGTTCTTAACAATGATAGAATTTGGGGAGCATCAGATACTGCTGGATTTCAAGTCATACATAATGTTCCCACCTTCTGAGCATCAATAATCAAAGCAGCGTTTGTGCTCAGCGTTTTGAATTTGGAACTAATATTATAAAGATTTTCATTATCGTCAGCTTTCAGTTTGTGGAGATATGTTTCATTGCAAGTTATTTTATTGATGATTATTTATTGTTCCCTAGGGGTCACAGGTGGAAAATAGGGTCCAGTTTGAAAATCTCATCAGCCAAAAAATAGGGATTTAACAGCATATGTCTAATTTGTCCCATTCTCTGCAGCTGGTCACAAAACTGCCCATAAGCTTTCATCTATTCTAAGTACGATCTCTTCCACGTCACCAGCAGAACGATGTACAACCAATCGTTCCTCTTTGGGGTTCCACTCGAACAATGGACTACCGTGTGCTCGATACCATTCGATGCCATCCTCAATGTGTGTCCTATCTAGCCTCATTTTCTTCTACATATTTGTTGTGCAGTAGTCTCTTAGTTGGTTCGTTCCCATAGTTCCTTGATGCCAATTCTTTTTGGTTGACCATCTGATGTTTAGTACGGAGCAAGAAAAGGAAGAAGTTGTTGGTAAAATTCCGTAGTAGCCTGTTGAAAACGCTTTTTGTGACGTGCTCACCAAGTTTCTGATCCATATATAAGCAATGACCGATTTAGCATTGGTACTCAAAATTCGAATTCTGTGCTTTTAAGTTTCTGTGTTGACTGGATTGACTTTCCTGGGTAAGTTCTCTACTTCCAAGGTCAACTATCCCTCTCTTTCCGGACGTTGGATCGGCCATAAAACTAGTGAACTATTAGACTAGACGACGACGGTTTCCATCATAAACCTACATGAGTTAGCGAATCATTGACAGCCTGGTAATACTGGATGGGTAATACATCCACATTTTGTAAGCATCAATGACCCGACTAGGGGGTCTAATTTAAAACTTTCCAGTTATTAAGTCAGCACATTAAATATAAATCAAAAATGAAAATTCAGCTTTCCTGGAGATATCACTCATTGATTTTTGCACAAGATTTCTAGCCTGTGTATCCAGGGTTCGAATCCCCTTTCCGCTTACTTCATTCTGAGTAACTGAGTAGTACTATCAGCTATGACACAATAAGTATATCTTCTATTCTAGCCTTATACAGGGGAGTAGAGTTTTAACTAACTAATTAACTCTAACTACTAACCCCATGGTAATACTAACCTATTGAATTAACGGTTAAGTGTCATTTTGTGTAAAAGAAAACTTATTTCATCTCTGTATGTTTAACTATTTTTTTTAATATTTAAAAAGGTCATTTGTTTTCTCAATTTATGTTACCATTATTTTGTTTGCTTATAAGTTGTAAATAAATCAAGTCAAAAGCTTGTCAGTGTGATAGTTTGTGTGACATCACAGATTTGCTTAGACGCCAGCTCTCTGGAAGAGAAATTGATAGTAGTTTCTACTTTAAGTCACAAGTCCGCTTACATTTCCCTTTTTACGTTTAATTCTTTTGCTTAGAAGTACTCCAGCTCGTAGACTATTCGGCTCCTAGGAAGCAATTGACTCAGGCAGTCTACAAGCTTGCATTGTAAATGGAAATTCTTAGATCTAACCCCAGTCGCTGCGTACTGCCATTGAGTTCCATACTAGGACGAAATAGCTGTCCAGTAATCTGTGCTGGTTTTCAATGGTTCTCTAACTGATATCACCTCATGTTCAGACTTGAAATAAATGGAAACACAACTCTTGAAAGCTTTCAAATCGGCTATTTAAACAAAGAGTTATTGTTTTCACTGTCAACTGACAGTTTATGCTTCTAGTTAACTCATCTCTCAAGATGTCAGTTAGCTGAACTAGAGAAAATTCTATCTCCTCTAAAAGAATCAAACCTCGTTTTTGTTTCTCTTGTGATTTCTGTGGATGATGCTACTTAGTGTATTTCACGGTCTTTATGTTACGCCTATTCTCATGTATCCGTGTGTGTGTGTGTGTGCACTTTTTTTCTATCAATATAGATACTTCTTCACCGAACAAGCAACACAATTCTATTTGGCATGTGTTGTTGAAGGATTGGATTATTTACACAGGAAAAATATTATCTATCGCGATTTGAAACCAGAAAATATAATGCTTGATACACATGGTTATTGTAAACTAGTAAGTGAACGCTAAATCTATAAACTTATTATTATTTCCTTTAATTCCTAGGGAAGCAAAGGGTTTCCGCCGCACGTCTCAATTGCGTTTGGTTCGCTACCAACGTTTTTACCCCGCTCCAAGTCTCCCCACACGCTTTCATCTCCTCCTCACATGACATCCTCCAAGTCGCCCCACCGTGGGACGACCAACTCGCCGCTTCCCTTTCGGGTTCCACTCGAGCAATGGCCTGTCTAGTGATGTCACTTGATGGTTTCCTTAGAGTATGGTCTCTAATCCATCTCCGCTTCTTCCTGCCTATTTGTTTCACAATCTGTTCCTGGTTGGTTTGCTCATTGCCAGAGATCCCTGTCGCTGATCTTTTCTGGCCGGCCATCTGATTTTGAGTAGTATTGAGCGAAGACAGCTGTTAATGAAGGTCTGAAGTTTGTTTGAGATGCTCTTTATGACGCGCTACCCAAGTCTCTGATCCGTATAGTGAGTAGCACTAACTTCACATTGGAGTTGAAAATCCGGATCTGATTTTCATTTTTCATGCTGAGTGCTGTTCGCCTCCACACAGACTTGAGAGAAATGAAAGCTTGCCTTGCTTTTCCGATTCTGGCTTTGATATCCTCATCAGTTCCATCCACCTGTAGTTGAAACGATGCTTCCCAGGTAGTTAGGTAAAGGAAGTTGTTTTCTTTCAGGTTCTTCCCATTTATGCTGGCTGATTGTTTTCTGTTGTTGCTGTTGATGTTGACCAGGAATCTTCATCACCTCTGTTTTATCTATGTAGACCTGAAGTGAAGTCCTATCTTTGATGCTTCTTCTGCCAACTTGTTGCTTTTCACTTGCATATCTTCCAGTTTGTGGGAAATCAGACATATATTATCGCTGGCGAAGTCCAGATCCTCCAAGTTTTTTTTGTGTGAGTCCATTTTATACCTGTTTCCTCATCGCCCACTGTCTGTCGCACTATCCAATCTACTGCAACCAGGAAAATCATTGGCGATAGTAGGCAGCCTTCACTTCGAAGGATACCGTAAGTTTCCCGTTGTAGATTACTTCGCATGCAGCATTGTCGGACAACTGTTGGATGAGATGAAAAATTGTCGGAGGCACCCCGTAGTAGCGAAGTAGTTGCCAAATAAGTTCCAATAAGTTTTCCCTCCGATTTTGGATTTTGTAGCTGCTTTTGAACAGTTCTAGTTTGAAGGAAGCACTGGAAAGCTGTCTCATCCTAATTTAATACCCCTCAGCAGTGAACACCAAAAACAAGACTAGGGATTGGACCCAAGGACTACTAGTTTACGTGGCGCGCTCTCTGACCATTCGGCTACTCGTCTAAAGGAATCCAGTGAACCGTGAATTCCAACTTCTGTCAATCTGAGACGTGTTAGTACTACTTTATATCTGAAATAGAGGACCCCAGTGGCTCCATTAGAAATTTGGGATGACCACCCTGTAGCCAATAACCACGAAGAGATTGGTATTCGAATATTCCTGGATGTGCATTGTTGAAGAGTCGCAAGTGAGCTAGAGATGGATATCCCGTACGCCTTGGTTTTTGTCGCTCTCTAATTAGTATTGGTTAATGATGAAATCCACATTTTAATTAGGTGTTTTCATCCAAAAAGGTCCAGTCTCGTAGCGCGTATTCACTTGCTCGTGTGTCTTTTCTGTATATAGAGGTCACTAAATTGCAGCGTTTACAGATTATATATATATATATATATATATGTGTCCTTGTGGCTGAATGGCTAACGGGCTTCCCGTAACCTGAAAACCGTGGGTTCAATCCCTCCTAGGCCCATGGATATGCTCTTCTAGAGGGTCCCAAACTAGAATGAAATAGCGGATTGGTAGTTCAGTGGTAGAATTTTCATTTGCTACTCTAGAGGTCCAGGTTCGACTCCTAGCCGACGGATGCATTTTTGAACTTCATCTGGTTTACTGTGGTAAACTTGATCATTCGGCATATTTTCCGTGGGGAGTGAGAAGACAGGAATACATCAGACTCATAAAAAGACTCTGAAAGGTCTGGGTTTCATAAACTCGAAGACTTGCGGAAGAAAACTAGCAAGTTGGCTGAAGCAGAGAAGACAGGACTTCAGGTGAACACATAATAGGCGAAAGTGACAAAAATAACCAGTCAACTGGAGAAATCTGAAAGTAGCGACATCATTCACTTATCTGACTAGGAAGCATATTCTCAGCTACATTAGGACCAATGAGGATGTTAAAACCAGAATCAAGAAGGCAAGATAGACTTTCATCACTCTGAAGTCAGTCTGGGAATCTACTGCACTCTGCAGCATAAATAACGAAATTCGGATTTCCAGCATAAATGTTAAGTCAGTCAGTACTATATATGACATAAACTTGGCGTATCACGATAAGCATTTCTGACACGTTAATGAGGAATTTTGACATCATCTGCTCCCTTCTCTGGCTTCATACTGAAGATAATATGGCCAAGCAGAAAGAGCTGACATCAAGGATTTATGGGAATGAACCAATTAAGAGACTACTGCTCAACAAATATGTAGAGGAAAATGCGGGTGGATAGGACACGCACTGAGGAAACCATCGAATGACATCGAGAGCTCGGCAGTCCATCACTGGAGTGGAACCCGAATTGGGAATGACGAGTTGGGCATGTTTCTGTAGCTGAAATGAAAGAGATCATACTTAGAGGAGATAAAAGCTTATTAGCAGTTGTAAAGACAGCTACAGAGTACGGCAGAGAATAGGGAAAAGTGGACATGTGCTGTTGAAGCCATACCATCTACTTGGAACCCATGGGAACAATAATGATAATGATGATAAGTCGCCTAAAAATCAGCTACATGTAAACGCTTTGTTGAGGTGATCATCATAGCAAAAATGCTTATCATACATACTATTACTTGTAAGTCAATATATGTAACAAATTCATAGATATATTGCGTTTGGCAGTAAGGCTATTATTAACAATTATAAATATTACTCGATAACCACATTTGTGTATACATGCACTTGACGATGCTCTACACCTTTTATATTTGTTAATGATACCATTGTGATAAAGGTTGTGAGAATAGTGCACAGTCACACACGACCACCTAACTAAATCTATAAAGGGGTATCAGTTTCGTTTAAATTTCATTTATGACTTGCTGATGACACTCTGTAAGTACGAAATTTAAGTCCAGAATTTGATGCCTCTAACCATCCAACATGGGTTACATTATGCACATTATTAATTTAGCTATTCAACTAGAGGTACTTAAGCTTATACTTGGCTAATCACCTCCATTGGTACTCGTGTTTACGCTGTCTGTATCGTCTTAGATAGGTTAACAGAATCTAGTTTACCCTGATTATGCTATAAACAGACTGACTGTATACTTTGATTTTTTTCTTTCGTATTATATGTTTAGACTGATCTTGGATTTGCTAAACACTTACCATATGGAGCTAAAACATGGACATTCTGTGGAACACCAGAATACATGGCACCAGAAATTATACTGAATAAAGGACATGATTCTGCTGTAGACCATTGGTCATTAGGCGTGTTATTGTTTGAGCTATTAACAGGGCTGTAAGTATTAATAACACAAAATTTTTATTATTATTATTATTACTGATGTCACTGATACACAACTAATATTTATTGACGTATGATTATTATTATTATTATTATTGTCAGGATAACACACTTTACTAATAGTGTGCAAAGATTTCTTACTTAAAATAACTCATTCATGCTTAAAATTTAGGGCCTAGATATGTTGTGTTATTGCTCAGTATCTGACCGAATCCCCTCTGAAACTAATGTACACTGGTACCGGCTTTATCACTAGCTTACTTCACTTATATAGTACTCGAATTGAAGCACAAAGTCAATAAATTAGTCTTCTCAATAGAGATATGTTTAATTTGGTGGATGGTGACTAGCAATAGAATAAAGGATGCTCATTTCGTCCTGTTTGGGACTCGTCATCCGGATGTACCTGTACTCCCACCCCCACCCCCAATGAGTCAGTGATGGTGTTCCCAATGAGGCTTAAACTATATAACCCGTTGTTTCGAACACCAAATTGTTATCCACCAGACGACTTGGGCCACAATAGCCACCTCTTGTCCAACGGGTGTCAGTTAATTATTTACTTTTCATTCACTTTTGACCTTCCGTTTAATGGATTTGTGAAATAGAGATTAAACTTAACTTTTGAGAAAAAGTTTAGCAACTTATTTGTTGAATAATAACTGAACTAGCACCTCAATTGGGACAGTTCAAATTAACTAACACAAGGATGGCGTAAAATGACAATGCAGCCTGAATACTAGCTGAATGATAGTTTGGACAAAAGTTTAATAATTTAAGTATTCTGGAGTGAACTTGCAAGTTTATTTAGCTAGTACTTAGTTATTTCAGTGTAGTCTATGCTTTTTTTAGCCCTAGTTGCATTACACACTACTAACAGTTGATTTCTAGACGAATAGGACCAAGTTACAGAATAGCGGTCACAATCGATTTTCAGGATTACTTTGAGGTAGTCGACCATGTGACTACTAGTCACGAAAACTGTATAAATTATACTTTCAAAATTTGATGATGACATGTTTTGAAAATACTTTTAGATTTGGGTTTAATAGGATACGCTAGGGTTAGGAGTTGGATTAAAGATAGATTTAGGTTAGAATCAGCGCGTTAGGGTAATACAGAATTGTCCCACCATTTATCAGTTCAAACATTTAAATTTACAATTTAGCAATACAGACATTAGATCATAGGAAATATTAAAAAGACATTTGCAGGGAAGAGAATTTCTTTTTCGATGATGTCATCAAGTAGGCTGTACATTCGTGTATTTATAGTAAATGGGTGAGAAAGTTCCACAACTGTTTGCAGTCAAGGTTTGAATTAATGAAATTACAAAATGTAACACACAGAAAGATCATATAGAAACTTGGTGGGGTCATAATTACTGAGAAACTCGACTTTTTCTGCAGTTGAGGATTAAAAACGTTATGATAATAAAATAGGCAGGATAACTGGATAAAGAAGGTAATAGGATCACCGTTATTGCTAAGACTAACTTTCCATGATGGCCATGATAGAGGCAACGGCTGGATGTATATCTTTTAAATACATAGCGTGAGCATGAACTTTTGGATCGCCACTGCCTCATCTATACACAGATGCCTTGATTTCACTCCCCTTTGAGAGGTCAGATCGGATCTTTTACGAGACTTTCAAGGCATTTTCAAATGAAGCTGGATGTCGTCAATTCACTAGATGTTCTGTTACCGATGGTTTATCTTTCACATGCTGGCTGAACAGTTTCTCGCCAGAAAACGTCACTTGTAGGCTGATGGCAACGTATGTTTTACTGAAAGACTTCAAAAGCTTTAGCATCGCTTTTAAATTAGGGATTAAGTACCAGCATCTTTTTAGAGGTGACTTGAACCTGTTTAGAAGTTTTCTTTGGTTTTAGATTCTTGTTTATAAATCCAGGTGGGAAACCATTTTCAGTCAAGGCTCCTTGGAGATTTTGTGGTTGTTCGTCAGTTGATTCCTCGGCATGTATATTTTCCGGGTCCTCTAGGAAAGAGAATATACGATGTTCTCTTTCTGTTTAGAGGAACACAACTCTGAAAAATGATAAACTCACCATAGCAGCAAACTTTCAGTTTCCATACACTACTGGTTGATGTAAATATTATCCAACTACTTATGTGCACTAGTCAGTAGTATACAGCGTCCTACATCTGAGTTTGTAACCACGTTTGAATTGAATGGCAAGTAAGTATTAGAATTTCAAGGTATAACTTTGGCATTTCATATAGGAATGGATGAATAGCTGAGAAAACTTCACTTCCAATCCACTTAGCTTTAAATTTAGAAGAGAGTAAAACATAATTGTTTTATAACAGTTTAATCAATAATTTTCACTTATTTTTTTTCTAATGTCTTTTTTCTCTCCAGACCACCATTCGAATCACCAGATACAATGCGTACATACGGAATTATATTGAAAGGGATAGATGCTGTTAAATTTCCTTCAAGAATGTCTAAAAATGCCCAGTGTTTAGTGAAAAAACTATGTCGGTAAGCTTTTTTACGGGATATTAGTACATTTGAACAACCCATTTTGATTTGTAGTAAATACAGCCTTGTTGTAGAGCTCAATTTCTTGATCTTTTTCATTCATGATGTTAAGCATATCACCTATTTACATCTGAATATATTGTATTCTTAGTAGAAACTGAGGTGAATTTCTATCTCAAACAACGTAATTTAGAAACAATAAATTTGATTGGCTATGATACGAACAAACTGAAATCTACCAATGAGAGAATGTGTGAGTGGCCTTAACTAGACTGCTAGCATAACGCCAACGCACTTGTAAGCAGCTTAATCGTCCTCTAATTGGTAGATGCCTATTTGATGACATTAGGATCAATCAGCAGATTATGTTCTTAATCAAATGCCTGTATTATCAGACCGTTCATACAGCTAGTCAACCGGCTTCCTCCGTGTTTTGAAATAACTCAACTCCCTGAGTTGAGTTAAACTGACTGCATTGTTGATGAACTTACCTACAAATGAGCAAAACAACCTTCCTTCATTTAGATCACCACGACCTAGAATGAATGGTAGCCGACTACTCATATCAGTTTATAGTAGTAGTATGTATGTACGTATATCTCGTTAAATCTCATCATCTAATATAGTTTTACTTCTGTTGTTGTACGTGATAATTGTAGGTAATTTCCACAATATAGTGTTTATGGCTTAGGTTTTATTTCGAGTGAGACTGAAAGCTATCGCAAGGTGTTTTCGCGCATAGCGTAGCAAACGCCAAAACAGACATTCTAGCTGTGTAAAAACGTTGTTATAGCACCTGTAAAACAGCTAAACATAACATCTGATGTGATTACAGTACTCCTATAGTTACTAAATACAAAAGTAACCATTTGTAGACCGCCTCCGTTCTTCCTGTTCATATATACTGAGACAGAAGGAGGCAAATTTGATTTGTAGTAGATTATAATCTCGACTCCCATTTCTGATATAATAGTTGTGCAATTGTGAAGTTATATTGTCTCTCTAGTGCTACTAACTCAAGAGTAGCCCAATTAGATTGCTTTTCTGTAGATGGTATGTGATAGATGTTAGAGCGCAGAATAATATTTTAAAATGGCTATCAATCTAAATTTATAGATTTTTATCGAGAATTGATTGAAAACCAATTTCATGCTTTAAATTTTGACATTTCAATGACATGTGAAAGCCTTGTTACTGAATAAACAGTTTCGGCGGGAGTAACTCCCAACACATTAAGGATTGAACATCATAAGTGAGCATAATTTCCCTGGGATTTCAGAAATGATGTAGAAAAACGTCTCAAAATGACATTGAATAAAGAGATCAATATTCCTACATCGATTGGCTAAATACTTCATCTTCCACCTTAACTGATTTCACAAATCAGACTGGATTGTACAGAAATAAATGCAAAAGTGTAAAAGTTAAGTTTCATATAATGGATATAGTTCACACTCTTTCTATATTACATATTTTATTTATTCAAATAATTTCTTTTCCAGTGAAAATCCAACTGAACGATATGGTGTAGGCAAAGGTGGACTACGTGAAATCGAGAAACATGTTTGGTTTGAAGGTTTTGATTGGGTTGGATTACGTAAACGTGCGCTGAAAGCTCCTCATGAAAGACAGGTAATCTTTATTTATTTAATGTAGCGAATTATCCTGATGAATAAATCATTTTTGAAATGACACAGAGAGTTTAATTCAGTTCTACATCACTTATTGGAAGGCCATTGAAAACTGGGCGAAGTTCAACAATAACGTCCCCCCAGGAGTGAGAACGCCCCCAATGACCTTGAAGGCATGTTAGTTATGGGCTAACGGCACCTGTCATTATCACAGATAAAATATCAACGCTATTCACCAAGTAAGGAGAAAATTTCACCCAGATCAAGTTTTTTATGTACTGTCTGGTTAATGTGTTAATAGCTCGTTAGGGTTAAGGTAAGTATTGGGGTTAGAGTTAGGGTCAGAGTTGTAAAATAGGGTTAGGATTAAGTTTAAGGTTGCGATTATAGATGGATTTAGAAATGATGTTATTTATCTTAATTATTTTTCTTAGCCACATATTTTGAAAAGTAGTCGTCGATCCACTTACTGGAAACCATACCAATTCAACCAAAGGGATTTGGAAAAGACTGCACAACAGGATAACAGAGATAAACGATTCACAAAAAAACAGCTCATCTGTTATATACTCGTCGCCAAATTATTGTTATATACTGGTCGAGAATTTAATAGTCCTGACGCAAGAAGGCGGAAATCAGAAGACCACTAGGTTTGCGATGATACTCCTATTTTCCAAACACAAGGAGAAGCAATAAGTGGTATCACACCAAAGTAGTGTCACACAAGATTGTGCGAGCGAAATATATATGAATGTCCAGACAAGTGTGTGAACAAATCAATAGACAGTCTTAATATGAATGGCTAATTATAATGGAGTATCGATCCATATATACATAGCAAAATATAGCAGACATGTCAACAACCACACATGTAATATGGATGTATGTCACCAAGCAACGGACTGTCAACAAACACTCATATTATATATAATATAAGGGGAATATACATTGTTAAAGGAGACAGGTTCATCAAAATGAAATGGTCACAGACTAAGCGAGCAAACAGAAAGAGAGACTACCATACATATATATATATATATATATATCATCATCTTCAGTCACTTTGGTGAATACATGCACAGAAACCAGTCTAACTCAGCAACTGATACTCTTCATCAAAACTGGGGCGTAATTTTAAGCCATGTCAGAGAAAGATAGCATGTTTAGCGTGTTTTTATGCATTTTCTTGTAAATATACGTCAGTTTTGTGCAAAAGTACCTCATTTTTATGATTGATCGGCTCAAGGTCACTTGTGCGTTTGCATCCCTTGAAATGCTATTGTTAAACTTCGCCGAAGACTGAATACAGCTGAAACAGCGACTATGACAACGTTTGACTGTTAGGCAGATGAAATACCAAGAAGGCCAGAGAAGTTTTGAAGGCCTGGTATTCCAGTAGAAAACGGCAATTAACAAGCGTTGGTGGCATAGAGGTTAGGATGCTCACCGACCATGCACATGGTCCAGGGTTCAATCCCCGACCGGTGCACTCCTTTACATCATTAAGCCAGAAATAATCCTGGTAAAGAGGAAAGGTTGGGCATGAGGCTAGCAACCCCATCCTGTAAAATAAATACTGCTACAGAAACTTCAAGCCACTAGCTTGAAGCCCTATGTTCCACTGGGAACGTGAAGGAAAAAAAGTAGGAGGAAAACCTAACGCTCACAAAGGGTCAAACTTCAGGTCAAGGAAACAATTAACACCAATACAAGTAGCCTAGAGGGTGTGAAAACAGAAAAAAGCGATCAATCACATTCAAAGTCACCAGGAGAGACGACTAATAAACTCTTGGAGAAATTTAAAGACTCACCTCGAATTGAAGTAAACTCTGAAGATGTCTATTAAGGCAATCAAGGCTTCACAAGTAAACCATCCAGTTCAGAGAACACAACAACATCGAAATCATCCGCCTGAGCCACAAATCTTCTCCACCATAACCACCCTTATTGGTAATCAATTATAATACTCTGAAATTCTATAGAGAGTCTTAACTGCAAAAATTTATTAACGCCGATTAATCCGATGAAGATTGAATTTAATACAAAAGGTAGTGAATAAAGTGTCACATATTCTTATGGTCAAACTATCTGAGATAACCTCACAGTGATGAACTACTACTACTACTACTACTAATGCAACAGGTGGAATTAAAACGTGGTCTGGAATTGGTATCTGAACCAGCGGATCTGTAGTCCGACTGTCGACCAGCTGACCTACGCGACCCAGCTGTCAATGGTAAGATTGCCACTTTTAAAGAATATTAAATTAGGAAGAAACAGCTTTTTAATGCTCATTAATTTTCACTGGTACTCTAAATGATTTCTGTTCGGGATGAAACCTACAATGAGTAATGTACACAAGTCCCATTAAGAATATAAAATTACTAATACAAAAGTATTCTGTTTTGACAAGCATATAATATGAACCACATTTCTAGCCAGCACCATCACCAGTAGCTTAATTGGTCTATGAGCTCGTCTTGTGCCCGGCAGGTCTGGGTTCGAACCCCAGTCGCTATGTACTGATGAAGAGTACCAAACTAGGACGAAACAGCCGCAAAACAAAACTTGAATAAGATAAATGATTGGCTCGTAAAACATTGAAATGAATGTTGTTTTTGTTGATGTTTTTTCCAGATCACATTATTCCTTAGTTCATTTAGATTTTTGAAGTTAACTTTCACTTTTTTTAATCTCCATCTATACTATCACAAGGTATTATCACAAAGTGATCTACGACATTTTGATACATATCCGGAGGACAATGAAGAGCCTGAAGATGAAACATCTGGTTGGGATGAACTCTTTTAGCTGGCAGTTATTCACTCGATCTAATTCAATGAAAAATTAAGATAAACTACAATGTATTGTGTTCGTATCTTATTTCTTTTGAGTTAAAAACCTTCATACACGCACACACACATACATATACATAAATACACATACAAACAAACACTTATGTGTACTACACTACCCGAATTGTATTTTTATACTGTCAAAACAAAGGGTATGCTAAAGTTTGTGTCAAGGAATTGTGGAATTCACATTATGAGTAAATAATAAGCAGTTGAATATGAATATATTGAATTTTACAGCATTGGTTTGTCTTTTTCTATCAAGGAAGATTATTGACTGAACTAGAAGCTAGTTGTATCAGTATATGCGCGTCAAACTTGGGCACTGTGGTAGTAAGTAATTCCATATTAGTTTGTCTATTAGATGTATCACACACAGTGAGCGAAACAGTATTATTCACTAGATGACATAGTTTCGAACAAAATTTATTGCTGTTCATAATCATTGCATCAATTATAATCACATAATTTCGAAACTTCAGTTTTATAGTTTTCTTTCTTCCCTTCTATTCATCATCGTAGGGGTAGTAGAATTTTTCAGATATCAGGGTGAGCAGGCGTTGAATCATTCCTATTACACGTGTTCTCCTCAGTTGATTCGATAAACAAAGCTTCTGTTATCAATCTCTCTCTCCATTCACCCTGTTACATTAGATTTTAAAACTGTCATCTTATCCCATCATCCTATTATATGATTGTGTGTAATTGCATGTAGTGAGTGGTATAGCTGAACTATTCTCTAGATTTCTCATCTTATTTGGGTCAGCTAATCTAGATTTTGCTGATAGGGTTTTGTGATCTGCTAGTCTGACTGCCACTGTTCTACTAACAAAGAAAACTATAAAAGCTAATTATGTTTAATTACTGCACAATTGATCCTGACAATCAGCCATGGTATTAACGTCTGTAATTTGTCTCATTTTTGTAATGTATGAAAATTAACCTGATGCTCACTAGTGACTGGCCCTATTCAGGCAGTTAACCTGGGGTTCTAGTGGGAAGCCGTGACCAATAGGGTACAGCAGGTTGAAGATGAGGGCAGTCACTCATCGAAGAAGACATTGCGAAGTGGTCGCGCTATGTCATGAATTGGCAGAAGTTAGAATTCAAGGACTATTGAATGGTCTACGAGCTCGCCTTGTAGCCAGAAGGTCTTGGGTTCGAACCCCAGTGGGTGCGTACTGCTGACGGTTCCAGAACTGGGACAAAACAGCTGTCCAGTTCTCCCAGGTTTTCCAGTGTTTCTCTGACTGATGTCAGCTCATGATGAAATTGTTATGTACTGCTGAGTGGTTAATAGTTCTGACGCAAACTGAGGGAATCAGAAGACCACCACGTTCACGATAATACTTGTATTTTCCAAACAAGGAAAATAATGACTGTCACGCAAGTGGGAGAGTGAAGGGTACGTAGTGTACGAAATGTGTGAACAAGTGTGTAAAAGTGTACAATACAAAAGTTTATATGAAAATTACTAATACACATGAACCAATAAGGCAGATAGGTGGTTTGCCTTACCCCCATTGGATTCGGATTGGTTGTAATGTCACGTGATAACAAGGTCATATATTGTTTATCAAGTTAATGGACAGACAAAGCATATTGTGGGTTATCGTGGAATATCGATCAATATACACATAGCAAAATATAACAGACTGTCAAAAACAAAACACACATCATGTGACTACATATCACCTCCCCTTTTGAGAAGATTGATGATTAGTAGCGTGCTTTCTTGAGGGTTTACCTGGAACCGTTGAGTTTGTTTTCGACGTCTGTCGCTTCGTCTGTCTGTTGGGTTTGCGGCTTCGGCTTCGTCCGGAATTGTCTGACATTTTATGCTTCTTGACTGCATTGCATAGAGAATTTAGGGGGACATCAGCCAGATGGAAACGATCGAACCAATCAAGTCCCAAAAGATTTAAATCACTCTGGGTGACGTAACAAATTCCTGTGAATCTGATATTGCGGAAAGAAACAGAACATTTGAGTTCACCAATTAGTTTGAGGCGCCCACCACAGGCGCTGACAAGAGTCTGAGAAGAGTTTGTGATAGGTGGCTTGTCAATATTATTCCAAAGTTTCTCTGAAATAACCGTAATGTCGGAGGCAGTATCCAACTGCAGTCGAGTATCGTGACCATTCATCTGAAGATCAATATATTTCCGCATACCTGGTGTTGTGACTTGACAGGTTGCGAGTAGACTCAATGATCTCCTTGGAGATTTAGGACCAACAGTTGATCGAGCTTTCGCTGGATTATGATATTTGGTTTTGTGTGGCTGACAAAATCCATTTTTATGACCGATGACTTTGCACTTGCTGCAACGATGATTTTTGTATGGACAGGACTTTACAAAGTGCCATGCACCACATTGCCAGCATGGTGATGGTGGGGTCTTCTCTGCAGTATTTTGTGAGGTTGGACGAGTATAAGTAGATTTACGAGGAACATTAGGAGAAGGTGGGTCAGGACTGGATGATGAAGAGAGATTTCGGCTCTTTCGTAATGCACAAATATCAGAGCTTCTCGAAGTTGTTGATTCGACCAGGTGTGTGTCTTTCTGCAAATTAATCAGCCGTTGATATTCATCAGCTATGTCATGTAATGTTAACTTAGGATTTTGCTCTGGCTGATTGAGCAGTCGAGTTCGGATATCTGTGAAACGAGGAGATTGAAGACTGCATATGAGAATCAAGGCTTTGAATTGATCATCTGTTAAGAAACTGAGTCGAAATCTCTCACATTCTCGGTTGACTGTGCCAACGTGAGTAAGAAAATCATCATTTTCATTCATTGTCAGCTTGAGGCAACGATATCGTATGTTGAATAATGAGGAGTGGTCTCCGAAATGTTCACGCAGCAGCTTTGTTGTATCCTCGAAACACTTGTCACGTGGTTTCTGGGGTAAAATTAGGTTGCAGTATCTTTCATATTCTGCAGGACCCAATATACGTAATAACACTCGCACCTTCCAGGCATCGTCTTATGAGGCGAGATCAACTGTGAATAAATCCTCATAACGTTGATACCATGTGTCAAAGGTGACATTAGCATTTGGATCATAATTGAATTATGTAATACTATTCCCAATTCCATCGACAGATGGTAACATGGTATGATTCGGATTGCTTGAAGGTGAAACTGAACCAGTCTGTTGGTTGATGAGCATTTCCATTAATTTCATTTGTTGCTCAAGTAGTAATTCCAATTTAGAAGAATCCATAGTTTTCCCCGTCGCCAATTTTCTGTTATGTACTCGTCGAGTGCTGTTCGCATACGGCGATGCTCCATTTAGTTAGACAAGAGTGTAAATTAGTAAAATATTATCATCAAGATGCCATTTTGCGCTCAGAAGAAATCTTTAATATAATTCACTGCCTTTCAGGACTAGAGAATGTTCAGTTCAATTTAGATTTTAAAAGTGAAACAGTGAATTATCCTGATATTCCTCCTATCAACTTTTCACCAATCCTTGCATTAAAACAAAGTCTAGAAACACAACCTAGTGGAATTTGTGAATGCCGAGATAGTGAGAACACGAATGATCGAAATAAATGTGTATGGCAATGTGGATTTGAGAAGTTAAAACAAAACCACTTATATTACACTGAGCAACAGCATTATCATGAAGAATTAATTCAACGGCAGTTTGTTCAATTGGATAAGCATAGAGAACATTTGAAACAGACTGTCAAAACAAGGTAGACATCATGTGACTACATATCAGAAATACTATGTGCAATCAAAATAATTTATGTTTAGTCTTTAGAGGATGAAGGTTATCGACGAGTACTCAACAAATGCCTATATGCTAATTGAAAGTATATGTCCTCTAGCCTTTAATGCACTTGTCCTGCGCATAACTAGAAAACTGTTAGAAGCCAAACTCTAGAATAATGAACTAATCGTCAAAAATACGAGACCTATTCCAGGGTCAGAAATATCTGATTGATATAAGTATAAAACTTGGGCACTGTGGTAGAGTATAATTATACCATTATAGATAAGATTTTATTTTGATAAATTACACAGTGTTGTACGTAAAGTATTAACTGATGACCACATTTAGAACACAAGTTATTGCCGCTCATAATCATATCAAGTCAGTCACTCACACAACTTTTTACTTCATTTTCTTACATGAGTGGAATTGATTAGACACTTGAATAAAAATCAATACAAGATAATGTACATACATACATCATGGCATTCTAACAAGTAACTTATTATGACTATAAAAACACTCGTGTTATTTCCTATCTGATTGTAATTGACCGATAACACTCGTATTATTATTTCTGAATGTACATTATCTTATATTGACTTTTATCCAAATATCTGGTCAATCCCACTTATGTATATAAATGAAGCGTGGAAGTTGTGTGAGTGACTTGATATGATTATGAGCATCAGTAAGTTGTGCTCGAAATGTGGTCATCAGTTAATATTACTGTATAAAACTCCACTGTTTTTGATGTGGTTTTGTTCTCTGAGCTGGATGGTTAGTTTGCGAAGCTTTCATCACCTTACTGGGTGACATCTTCAGCGCATACTTCAATTTGAAGTGAGCTTTTAGATTTCTCCACGAGTTTATTAATCATCTCTCCTGGTGACCTTGGACGTGATTGGTTGTTTGTGTGTGTTTTCACACCTTCTAGGTTACTTGTATTGGAACCGGTTGTTTCTTTGACTTGAATTTTGACCCTTTGTCTGTGAAGTTTCTTTCTTATTGGTTGATAAATTTTGTCTATGTCGATGTGTCTATTGATTGATGATCCACTGGAATGCCAAGCTTCTAAAAATTCTCTAGCATTCTTGTTATTTCCTTTGTCTAATATTTGAACGTTGTCCCAGTCGAATTGATGTCCGTAGTTGTCTGTGTGTAGTGAAATGAGGGAGTGGATATCATGTCTTTTGACGGCTAGCTTATGTTCGTGGATACGAAGACGAAGGGGACGTCCACTTTGGCCGATGTAGTGTTTTTCGCAGTTGTTACAGTTTATTTTGTAGATGATGTTGGTTTTATCTTCTTTCGCTGTTGAGTCTTTTGGTTGACATAGAATTGAGTGAAGCGACTTTGTTGGTTTGTGTACGACGTCAACTCCTAAAGGTTTGAAGAGTCTTGTAGTGATTTCTGAGATATCTTTTATATATGGTAAGGCAATTTTCTTTGTGTTCTCCTTGGTGGCTTTTGCTTTGGTAGGTTGGCTTGGGGGTATATGTCTCTTGATGAAATTC